GCTCAATATTAAATGAAAAACTAATTTCCTATTCTTTTGGTACTATAAAGAGTATAAGACCCATCTCATATGGCAGTATCATGAATTTCTGATTATATAGAAGCACTCTATAAAACTAAGATTCTGTCAAATATAGGGGATTATGGTAGCAACTATCTTAAAACATAAAGTATAGCTATTCATAAAGCCTGTGAGAGGCTCAGTTGAGCTACTTTGTCCAAGGCCTAATGGCTAATAAATGGTGCTGGTCCAGGCTAAAATGTTGATTTTGGGGGGCACCAAAACCAGCAGAGAGTGTGAACTAAAGGCAAGTTCCTGAAAATGTTTTATGGTCCAAATTTCATACTCTTGTCAACAGCAAAAATGTGCATATTAAAAACACCTCAAACATCTGGAGCTTCCAGGGGTAAAAGTGTGCCCCATTAAGTAATATCCATGCTATTAATAGTATAAAATATTGGGACTGGGGCTGTAGCCCAGTGGCAGAATATGAGTGAGGCACTGGGTTCGATCCTCAGCACCACATTAAAAAAAAAAAAAAACAAAAACAAATAAAATAAAGGCATTCTGTCCATCTACAACTACAAAAAATAAAAAATAAAAAAAAGAACATAGACTGGAGTTGTGGCTCAGTGGTAGAGAGCTCGCCTAGCATGCATGAGCACTGGATTTAATCCTCAGAACCACATAAATATAAAATAAAGATATTGTGTTTACCTAAAGCTAAAAAATAAATATTTTAAAAAAGTATAAAATATCTTTTTAAACTCTGAAAGTAAAAACTGACATAAATCACAAAACCAAAAGTATTGAAAGTAGAGCATAAAGCATATACTGCTGTTTTTAAATGTGTAAGGCATTGGGTTTCAATGATTATCTTATTTGAATTTTGACAACCCTGCATGGTGGGCAGAGATTATCATTGCTGACTTTGCCTGTGTTCATTTGGTCATCAGTGCTAGAATTACAGAACTCAGATCCTCTTACTAGGAAAAGCATGGCATTTACGGATTATTGAGCATTTTGACAGCCTACTGTCAGATCGTTACAGAGTTTGACAATGCTGTGATTTTTTTTTTTTTTTTAAGATGCTAGTAGGGCTTTGGGCACTCATTTATAAGCTGTATTTTTTTTTTTCCTATGTGGAGTCTGTGTTTTGGTTCTTCTTTTTCCTCTTCCTCAGCAGATGTGGGCCATCCACCATCCACCTGGGGCTGTTGTGTTCCTGCTTTAAGGGGCCTCCTTTACTTCTGCCTGACAACTACTAGTCTATGACAGTAGAACAGTTCACCAAACTTGTAAGTGAAGATATAAAATGAAGATAAGTTGGAGCAAATTAATTGGGCTTGGGGCTTAAGCTTTGGGCTGTCTACTGTAATTACTTTATGATGACTTTGGGTTCCTCATGAGTAATTCCATAATTATCATTCAAACACAGAATACATGATCTTATAATAGTTAAGTTCCATAAATTTTTACAAGCAATTCAATTTTTATATAAGAAAATTAGAATTCTAGACCATAACTTAATTCCATAAATTTAGCATTGCTAATGCTATTTTTATATACTATGATTTGATTATGAATCTGAAAAATTCCACATTATATAAAGTCTCCATTTTGCTGGCCTACGAAATTATTTATTCATGATTTAAGAAAATAATAGCAGTTGTATTTCCACATAGTTTATGAAGTATTATTTCTGTTTTCACAATTAAGGAGATTTTAATTAGCTTCTAACAAGACTCTGCTACATGAATTCTTACCTTGTGGTTTGAAGGTTTTAATGAATGTAACCTCTGTGGCCTTGTTTTCACTTATTGCTTAGTGCTAGCTTATCTTTCCACTAGGGAAAGAGCTCTTGAACCTGCTAAAGATACTAAATATTTAATTATGTTCTTATCTCCTGTATTTTATGTCAGAATCGTATTGTTTGCCTATTTGAGATGATAATCTATGGAAATAAGGACCTCACATATTATATGTTTTAAACTAAACATTTTCGGGCCTCAGAAGAGGCTGACCATTTGTGTAGTTAAAAACCAGTAATGAGAATACACCTCATTCTAAATCTTTCAAGTTTTGTTGGGATTGCTAATCACCCAATAGACAAAGGCCCTGAAAATGGCATCTTATTTTTTTCCTTTCTTTGTCCTCTCCAATACATATAAAGGATGTTAAGTATTAATAAGGTTAGGGCAAATATGATATGTGAAGTGAGAAATATGATTAGCTAATAAATACCACACCCTGAAAATTAAGGATAAAAATTATTGCTATTTTTTTTTCAATTGTGAAAAAAAACAGGGTGGTAACTGTTATTATTTCTTTGTGATTGTCTTTTGTCCATTAGCCAAGGAAGTTGCTATATCCAGGGACACATCTAGGGGAAGGAACATTTCTTAGAAGATAAAACTTTTATGTGGCATTCTTTTGCTCCTATTCAACTTTGCAAAAAATGAATGATTAAAAAACAATATCCAGTCATATTCTCTAGGACACTGTCATTTGGTAGCAAAGATTTTATATATCTATATCTATATCTATATCTATATATAGATATAGATATATATAGATATATATCCAAATAATTTAGATATGACAGACTGATACTAGTTATACCAGAACCTCATGGGATATATTGTGATGGGAAAGGTGGAAAGAAGAATTCTAACAGAGGGAGGAGAGGTGTCTGGGAAAGCTGATGGAAAAGGTCTTGAGAGATTATGTAGTACTGTATTCAAGGAGTAAATTTTGGAGAGGTATCATCTCAGGAAAAAACTGTGAGCAAATGGTATAGAACTGCTAAGTTTTATTGATACTTTATGTACTAGCTGCTTTACATGGATTAATTCATTGGATTTCAAACAGTGCTGTGAAGTAGATACCAATATCTGAATTTACAGATAAGAAAATTGGAGAGGTTGATTTGCTCAAGGTTATGCAGATGGTGGGTTCTGGAGCAGCAAGAGAGGCCAGCCTGAGGGACTCAAATTCAGAAGATGGGAGTGGTTCCAGCCTATTCTGGAAGTGGCCACTGAGCCTATACTTAGAAGTGCAGGGCTGAGGGAGAGCTTAGGGAGGTTTCCCAGGTTTGTAGAGTTGGTGAGGATGCTCATTTGAAATAACAAGATTTCCAGGCCCCTCCCCTGGAGATTCTGATCCTGTTACCTGACATTAATCAGTGATTTGATTAATGAGGGAAGTTGGACACAGTTCATTAACTTAATTAAGATATAGTGGGAAATAAAGCATCTAACCCCTAATTAGTGCTCAATTATTTGTAGTATTGGAAAAACTGTTCTTAAAGAATCTACAGTGTTCATTCTCTGTTTAATGTGATGCTAGAGGAATTTTATGAGCATGGTGTAAAATTATTAGATGCTTATAGAAAAACATAGATTATTATTTGTGAGAAGAAAATGTGATATTTTTCTAAAATTTAAAATATCTTTCTTTACTCTAACAAATTGCTTTAAAAATGAATAAAGGCCAACTTTTTAAAGAGGCCTAAAGCACTTTTTATTTTGGAATGGAATCTTAAGTAATTTTTAATATTTGAGACTTTGGTGAGAATAAGTACATACGTTTTGCCAGAAAATGTAAAATAACTATTAAATGTGACTTCAACTTTTTTTTAATAATATCATTTGTCTGATTTTAAAAGTAGTCCCTTTTTTTGGTTTGTTTGTTTTTTGGTCACAATGCTGATGGAAATAGTTGTTCCCTTCTTTCCTTGCTTCAAATTCCTGGCCCATTACTTCTTCTTTCACTTTAAGTTGGTGGCTGCCTATTAACAAACAAAATGAACAAAATCACACGTGACTGCCTCAGTGTCCTGCTGAAACTGGTAGGTCGCCACCCATGCCCTCCCTCCTTTGGTCCTTCCTTCCAGTTTTCAAGAAGAGGTGTTGAGGGAGGTCATATCCTTCCTTCTTCAACTCAGGAGCCATCTCTGCCTGCCTCCTCGAGGACCTCCCTTTCCATCGTCTTTTTACAAACTGGTCTCCTGTTGAGGAGTGTAGGAATCACTTTTAGGGAGAAACTCGCGGATTTCCAGAGATGGCTTCAATGTTTTATAATCTTAAGTAAACATATGGAATATGCTTTATAGTTCTAGTATAAGATAAAACCAATTTTATAAATCAATACAATTAAGCTATAAAATAAAATTCAACAGTTGTTATATAATTATACAAAAAGCACATTTAGAAAGTAATACAAATAAAGCCATAAAGCCTAGTTTCAGATCCACAGCCCAGTGGTGCTAGGGCAGTAGGGTAGGTTGCTGAAAAGTCAAATAAAGAACCTGGAGATGGTGTGTGAGACACAATTTACTCCCAAAGGCTGAACAGGTAGCATCTCTGTCCCTCACGGTACCTTGCCATCCCTCACAGCATTGCTCGAGAAAGCAGTGTCTCCATCTCTCACTGAGCAGTAACACCAGTGGGATGAGTGACATGCACACTCTTCCCTGTGTATTGAGCTTACATTAGCTACTACAAGGAAGAGGTCTTTTATAAGTTAGTTGGTAGAAGCAGTGCCGTTGTTAGTGGCTTAGTTTGCTTTCTTCCTTGTATGGCCATCATTCCAAGGAGTGGCTGTTCTGGTGTTCATGGAAGCAGGCGCTTTTTTACAGATAACATTAACTTGTCCGAGTTCCTAGCATTCATGAGAAACGTAAAACTGTTTCCAAGTGCTGCACATACAGACATAGGGCAACTAGTGAGCGCATCCACAGGTCGCCTAGAGGTGCTCAGACCCATCCTACCGTGAAGGGACGCAGCGTCCCTAAGGCAAGATGTTTCCTCTACTTGTAAACGGACCGAGCCGGGCGCCTCGGCGGCTCGGTTCTGCATAGAAAACCCGCCCCAGTGCGAACAGGAAACGGGACAGGGGTTCTCCCCCGGTGTGATACGCTCTGCAGCCCCCAGGGGAGAACGCTGAGGGGAAAAGGAGCGGTGACGTCTCAGCGGTCCCCTTGCAGCCACCGAGACACGCTCGCGGAGAGTCAGCTCCTCACCCAGTCCAGCCCGGCCGTGCTCCGCGGGCGGCTTCCTCGTCGCCCCGGCAACCCGGGTCTCCACCAATGGCAGCGGCGCGGCGCGGTCACGTGGTCCCGCCCCTTCCCCGGCGGCAACAACATGGCGGCCGCTGCGGTCGGTGGCGGCGGGGTGTGAAGGCCCCTGCGGCGGCCGTGCAGCCCTCACGATGGCATCGCCGATCTTGGGGGCCTCGCGTGGAAGCCCGGACGCGCTCCCCGCCGACTTCGCTTCGCAGGAAGACGAGGAGGGCGATTCTGCAGACTGGACGAGCTCCTCGGGCTCCTGCGCCTCGGCCAGCGGCGCTTCCGAGTGAGTGCAGAGGGGGACGGTGGGCAGCCCAGGGCGCACGTGCCGGACGGCCCGAGCGGGACCTCGGCGACCCTGGGGTCTGGGCCAAGTCCGCTCCCGCCGGTTCCGCGCCTTGGAGGGCGCCTCTGCGGAAAGTTCTAGAAATGGCCCCCTGCGAGGCTGCGCCCTTCTGGATGCCAGGTCCTTGCGCCTCAGCCGCCTGGGTGTGTGGGATGCGGATACCACGCGGGTTTTACAAGGCAGCCGATGAATTGTGCAAGTTTTCCTCCCGCCGTGTAAAGAGTAGCTGTGTGTAGTCACCCACCTGCTCCAGGATAGCCTCCCTCCAGGATGATAGCCTCTTTCCAGGATAGCCTCTTTCCAGGATAGCCTCCCTCGAGGTTCAGGGTGTTTGTGATGTGTTTTATGCATCCCCCTGGTTTCCTGTTTTGTCATAAGTTAATTTTCAAAGTGTTCTTTCCACGTTTTTATCCTTAATAATACCATGAGAAAGTTATTTTGATTTTCAATACCCAATGCTATTTCATTTTTTTATTCTAATTTGTTATATATGACAGCAGAATGCAACACAGTTCAAAATACACATAGAGCACGATTTTTCATATCTCTGGTTGTAAATAAAGCATAGTCACACCATTCGCCGTCTTCATACATGTACTTAGAGTAATGATATCCTTCTCGTTCCACCGCCTTTCCTACCCCTATGCCTTCTCCCATCCCTCCTCCCCTTTGCCCTATCTAGATTTTGTCAATTCCTCCCATGCTCCCCCTCCCAACCCCATTATGAATCAGTCTCCTTATATCAGAGAAAACATTCAGCATTTGGTTTTTTGGGATTAACTAACTTCACTTAACATTATATTCTCCAACTCCATCCATTTACCTGCAAATGCCATGATTTTATTCTCTTTCATTGCTGGGTAATATTCAATTGTGTATATATGCCACATTTTCTTTATCCATTCATCTACTGAAGGGATTCTAGGTTGGTTCCACAGTTTAGCTATTGTGAATTGTGCTGCTATAAACATTGAAGTGTCTGTGTCCCTGTAGTATGCTGATTTTTAAGTCCTTTGGGTATAGACCTAGGAATGGGATAGCTGGGTTAAATGGTGGTTCCATTCCCAGTTTTTCAAGGATTCTCCATATTGCTTTCCATATTGGCTGCACCAATTTGCAGTCCCACCATCAGTGTATGAGTGTGCTTTTCCCCCCACATCCTCGTCAACACTTATTGTTGTTTGTATTCTTAATAGCAGCTATTCTGACTGGAATGAGATGAAGTCTTAGAGTAGTTTTGATTTGCATTTCTTTAATTGCTAGAGATATTGAACATTTTTTCATATATTTGTTGATTGATTGTATATCCTCTTCTGAGAAGTGTCCAGGTTCTTGGTCCATTTATTGATTGGGTTATTTGGGTATTTTTTGGAGTTTAGCTTTTTGAGTTCTTTATATACCCTAGAGATTAGTGTTCTAATCTAATTAGTGTTCTAATCTGTTGTACAAATGGTAAAAATTTGCTCCCATTCTGTAGGCTTTCTCATCACCTCATAGATTGTTTATTTTGCTGAGAAGAAGGTTTTCAGTTTGAATCTGCCCCATTCATTAATTCTTGATTTTAATTCTTGTGCTATAGCAGTTTTACTAAGGAAGTAGGGGCCTAATCCAATATGATGAAGATTTGGGCCTACTTTTTCTTCTATTAAATGCAGGATTTCTGGTTTAATTCCTAGGTCCTTGGTCCACTTTGAGTTGAGTTTTGTGCGTGGTGAGGGATAGGGGTTTAATTGCTGTTTCATTTTTGAAGGAATCTATTCTATGGATGAAGAACTTTTTGGAAAAGCCAATCAGTACAACTTGAAACACCTAAGGGTGAAAGGTTTAGGTACCAAGAGTCTACCAAGCTGATAAGGGACTGCAATACATATTTTTAGGATGGCATTTTATGGGTAGTTAGGAATAACAGTTACAAATAAGTAAGAATTACTCCTAAATTCTTTTCACTTATCATAATTATAACATTTTTATTACTGTCTTTGTAAGTGTGTGGGGAAAGCCTGTTTAATACGTTCTAGAAACTTAAGGATAGGTTGTATTCTTGAAAATTTGAACAAATTTAAGAATATCAATTTTTTGTAATCTCTTTGTGCCCCCCTTTTTAATATTGTTTTAGTTGTAGATGGACACAGTACCTTTATTTTGTTCATTCATTTTATGTGATGCTGAGGACCAAACCCAATGCCTCACATGTGTGAGGCAAATGTTCTACTGCTGAGCCACAACCCCAGCTCCCCTTTGTGGCCTTTTAAAAAAAGCAGTACAGGGCATTGAAACCGGGGCCTGGTGCAAGTTATGCAAGCACTGTACCACTGAGCTTTATCTTGAGCCCATTTTATATTTTGAGACAGTGTCCTTTTAAGTTGCCTAGGATGGCCTTGAACTTGTGATCCTTCTGCCTCGGTCTCCCAAATAGCGGAGATTGTACTCGTGTACTACTGTGCCCAGTTTGCTGTGGTCATTTAAAAGTAATTTAAAAACTTGTGGTTATTAGGCGAGGCTGCTGGAAGGAAGTAAAGATTACATGGAACCTTATTTGGTCCTTAAATAGAAGCAATAGACAGGTTGAGATTTCAGCTTTTGGTTTCTCCACATCTCGGAGTCATACATATTTAGCCTAGAGATAATATGTCATTTCCCATAGTTACACACAGCTGAGTGTTTCATTATAGAAACTCAGGACACCTGATTTCTAATGGAGCACCCTGCACTTGGTGGTATAAAAATAAATGAGCTTAACTCAGTTTCTTCAAAATGTGCAATCTAAAGACCTTGTGCTAGGGTAATGTCTTACTTTTTAAGTATTCCATTTTCTGGAATACATTATCTATGTATGATATTTTAGTTTTTAAAAACAATCATTAAGATTTCTACAGTAGTCATTCACAATTCACTCTTAATGTTTTGTCTTTCAATAGGAAAAGTACAGTAAATCCCTATTGGAGGCTGGGCACTGTGGCGCACACCTGTGATCCCAGCGGCTTGGGAGGCTGAGACAGAAGGATCTCAAGTTCAAAGCCAGCTTAGCAAAAGTGAGGTGGAAGCAACTCAGTGAGATCCTGTCTCTAAATGAAATACAAAATAGGGCTGGGGATGTGGCTCAGTGGTTGAGTGCCTCTTAATTCAATCCCTGGTACCTCCCCCAGAAAAAATCTGTATCAAAAATATTTTTCTGGTCTCTATGTTGAGTTCTATCAAGATTCAGATATTATGTCTTTTCTTTCTTTCTGTACTGGGGATTGAAGTGTTTTTGTATTTTATTTAAAGACAGGGTCTCACTGAGTTGCTTAGTGCCTCGCCCTTGTGGAGGCTCCCTTTCAACTTGCAGTCCTCCTGCAATCCACAGGGATTACAGATGTGCACCACTGGGCCCAACTGTCTGTCCTTTCTTGATGTATATGACTTAAAGGTTGATCTGCTGACATAATCCAGAAGGTTTCTCTCTTGGTATTTGGTGTTCACCTCCCTAATCTGCAGTCACCAATGCAGGCAGCCTTCCTACCTTGGACAGAACCAGCATTTGATCAGAAGCATACCAGTGTGAATCTTAATCAAAGGGAGATGAATTGCCTATTATCTTTTATGGTCTATATGAAGCTGACTAAGGAAGTTATATTACACATTGATTCACATAAATAATCCTGAAATTTCAAAATTCTAGTTAATAATCTGTATGTTCTTTTTGGAAATTATCATTTTTTCATATATATTTTATAACTAAAAATCAGTTTTGAACAGCATGTGATTGTCAACATGCTTATTGTTTGGGGGATAAAAATCACCTTAGGTACATCTGTAGAGTTCTTACAGGCTTACTATAGAAAAGGAATGTTGGCACATGGGTATGTCTCTGAGGAGGCTGTGGAGGTAATACTGGTGGGTGGGTTGGAAGAAGGAACCCTTGCCACATAGAGCCCATATTCATTTGTCATGACATTTTTTATTGTGTGTGGTTTTTCTCTGTCCCTAGAATTGTCCTTGTGTTCCTAATAGTGTCATGTGACTACATGTATTGGCCACTTTGATAAAAGGCATTATACCTTGCCCACTTTAAAAGAGAGAGAGAGAAGAAAAGAATAATGTAATGGATTTGGAATGGGGCAAAAATCTGTCCTCCAGTAAGAAAAAAGTGTCAGTAGGACTGGTTAATGCCGGGTTTCTGTTCCGGCGACTAAAAGGCTCAGGGGTCACTCTAGTTAAACTGGGCTAACTGGGCTGCACGAAATAACCACACAAGAGACACAAATACCTTTTTCTTTGGGGTTGCTGTGATGGCTCCTCTGACCCTAAGGTCTGCAGAAAGAGAGAGAGCGAGAGCACGCGCTGACCCCTTTTATTGAGGAGAAGCTATTCAAATGAGGCAAGGGGTCAGGTTTCAGGGGGCTGAGTCTATCTTCATGATGTCCACTGTCAGCAGGTTGACTGACACCTGGGTAGGCCACACCCAAGGGCACAGTAAGAGGAGGGGACACACACAAGGCACTTCCATGGAAGATTCTATGCTAAACAGGGCAAGGGGTTATATTACAAAGGAACAGGAGAGCATAGCTTCACCCATGGGGCTATAGCAAGACACACCCATTTCTGTGACTGAGCGCCTCAGCACCCAGCTGGGGAGTGTAACTCAGTCACCCATAAGGTTGGCCTCCCACAGGTTAATTTATAGCTTTTTTCTCTGTGTGAAATTGCTATACTGTTGCAAATGATTAAAAAAATGCTTATATATATATATATATATATATATATATATAGGCATTAGTGCAAATTAAGTCCTGAGAGAGTAAAATAACTTTTTTTTGGGGGGGGTGGATATTTAGTGTCAACTTGGAATTCTTGAAAACATTAGGAATTGAGAAACTTATTAGCATTATGTGAAATTCATGTTCTTTAATCTATTTGTTATACATCATTAAAAACCAATTAAAGTGTCTTTAAATTTT